CCCCCTACTGAGCGAGGGCCGTGGCAAATGTTTGTTCCGGAAGTTGTTGTATCCAGTATACAACTTCTTCCCGTCCAAGCGATTGTGCACGCGTTAAGGAATACCTCAGTACCGATTGCCGGGTGGCGGTACAAGTCCGCCAACGGGCCACTTTAGGTCTATTTAACATCACTAACACGTAAAAAGAAGGTGGTAGACAAGGACCAGTCGACCGAGGCAGTACCACCCGCTAGCTTTTCCCAGGGTGTCTTATAAATGTCCGCATGTTTCCACACCCAAGCTATGCAGTCGGTTAACTACCAAAACAAAGAAATTAATGATGATGGATCCCTCGAGCACTAAAAACTCCGGACGTAAACTCACTCCACTCTCGGAATGTCCGGGTGGAGGGTGGGCTCGAGGGAACAACATCGAAGATAAAATTTGTTTTTCGAACATCTGTGGGATCAACAGCAACATTGATGCTGTTCATCACTACCTGCAATCCAATCGTCCCGCCATGCTTTTCTTGGCGGAGACAAAAATCTCAGAGACTGCACCGATTAACCATCTCAACTTCCCAAACTACGAGGTGCACTCCAATCTGAGAAAGAATGGGGGAGTTGTGGCTTTTGTCCGCAGCAGTCTTTCCTGCTCCAGGGATCTTTCTTTGGAATCCGACCGGAAGGACATTCTGTGGCTTCGCCTCAACTCCAAAACATCACCCAAATTTATTTGCTGCCTTTATCGCTCTCCCTCGAACCATAACTGGGATGACCTACTCGAATACCTCGCCGTCCAGATCGACTTCCTGAACATCAATCACCCCGCTTCAGAGGTAGTCCTTCTCGGTGATTTCAATGCCCATAATGAGCTTTGGTTGGGCTCAAATAAGACCGATGCAGCAGGTCGTGCAGTCGAAGCGTTCGCTCTTACTCAAGGGCTGACCCAGCTGGTAACGAGCCCTACTTTTTTCCCCCGCGTCTCGTCACACGCCAGTAGCCTGCTGGATCTCTTTCTGACCACGCATCCTGCCCCTTACAGCACTGCTGTCCTGTCCCCAATGGGTAACTCAGATCACGGTGTTGTGGAGGTTAGGTTTCGGTCAGAAGCCGCTGTGGCAGCAGAAACTCGCACAGGTCGCAAAACTTGGCATTACGGACATGCCGACTGGGAGGGGCTCAGAGACTTCTTCTCCAGCTTTCCTTGGAGAGATGTCTGTTTCACTGACGCGGATGCGTCGACTGTCTGTTCTTCAATAACCGAAATTATCCACGTCGGAATGGAGGAATACATCCCTCACACAGTGAAAGTTCCTAAACCAGGGTCCAACGGCTGGTTCAACAAATCGTGTGACACTGCTCGCCAGCAGAAGATCAAGGCCCACAGAACCTACTTACAAAACCCCACTGTAGAGAACAGACAAGCCGACGTCGAGTCCAGAAACAAATATAACGAAGCGGTTCGCAATGCCAAAAACCAGCATGATATAAAAGTTAGGCACAGGGTAATGTCGCAGCGCAATGGCAGTCGGTCTTTCTGGACGCTGGCCAAGCAGATTGAAAAGAACTTCTCATACAGTAGCCTTCCACCACTTACGTGTCAGGATGGAACTATTGTATTCGATTCAAAGGCCAAGGCGGAAGTGCTAGCCAAGATCTTTGCTGCCAACTCCACCATGGACGCCCAAGTGCCGTCAATTCAAAGGGTTCCCCACACTATGCGGGAGGTAACATTCAGGCATAAGACCGTAAGACGAGTGCTCTTGTCGCTCGACATCAACAAAGCTTCTGGTCCGGACTTGATTCCTGCCATTGTACTGAAGAGATGTGCAGCGGAGCTTGCTCCAGCTCTTTCGCGTCTCTTCCAGATATCTTATGAATCCGGCACCTTCCCAGAAAACTGGAAATTTGCTCATGTACAGCCCATCCCAAAAAAAGGAGCTAAAACCGACCCTTACAACTACAGGCCTATAGCTCTGCTTTCTGTTATAAGTAAAGTGATGGAGAGGTGCATAAATCGCGAGCTTCTGGACTACCTCGAACGTCACAGCTTGATTAGCGACAGGCAGTACGGTTTCCGGCACCAACGATCCACAGGGGACCTCCTAGCTTACGTCACGCAACTGTGGAGTAAACTCATCCAGTCTCATGGTGAGGCTCATGTCGTTGCTCTTGACATCACGAAAGCGTTCGATCAGCTGTGGCACGCTGCCCTCTTAAGCAAACTTCCATCCTACGGCCTCCCAGAAAAGCTTTGCAGATGGGTGGCTGACTTTATCTCTGGCCGCAAGATATCCGTCGTAATTGACGGATTCTCCTCTTCATCCCACAACGTCAACGCGGGTGTTCCCCAGGGATCGGTCTTGGCTCCAACACTGTTTCTCTTACATATCAACGACCTCCTTTCCTGCACGATCAACCCAATCCACAGCTTCGCTGATGACAGCACTCTACATGCAGGAATTCAGAGTGACAAGCCGATCTCTGCCGCTGAGCTGGAAAAAAGAAGACTAGCGACGACTTCTTCTCTGACAAGAGACCTGGAGGCTATCACTGCTTGGGGACGCAACAATCTTGTACAGCTCAATGCTTCCAAAACACAGTACTGTACTTTGACGAACAAAAAGCGTCCTAGCGCTCATACAGTTTCGATGGACGGTCGAGTTCTACCAAAGAGCCATTCATTTCGGCTGGTCGGAGTCCAGATCACCGAGGACCTGATCTGGCACGAACACATCTCTTCAATAGCTGCAGCTGCTGGGAAAAAGCTAGGCTATTTGTTTAGGGCTAAGAAGTACTTTTCTCCGCATGACCTTCTCACTCTATACAAGGCCCAGATAAGGCCTAGTCTCGAGTATTGCTCACACATTTGGGGTGCTGCCGCCCCGACTACATTGTCCATGCTCGATGCTGTCCAGAGGAGGGCGGTCCGACTGATCGATGACTCTTCTCTAACAGACAGTCTCGGGACTCTTTCGCACCGGCGGGCCGTCGGCGATCTAGCTCTTTTCTATCGCTACACCAACGGGCTTTGCTCCTCAGAGCTCTCCTTTGTCCCGAGGGTGTCTAGATTGTGGAACAATCTACGGGAGGAAGCTTTTCCCAGTTCTACTAACCTTAGGCAGTTCAAAAATCGTATTAACAAAATTTCTTTGGGATCACCATAGCAGCCGCGGTGTTCCGGCATTTAGGCTTCTGCCTGCGCGGCTGTTTCGATATAAAAAAAAAAAATTAAGAGATTTAATCAAGCTTATCTGGAACTGTAATTTAATGGCCCAATAATGAGGAGGGAAACATAGAATTTCATCCACATGTCACTGTCAAAACTCAATCGTACTTTGACAGAAAATGTGTTCTACCAGAATCAAATTAGAACCAGTTTGTAAGTAGTTTTTTTGACAACGCATACGCGCTGAAGAAGTTCACGATCCGCACGGATATCGTGTAAAAAACATATAAAACGTCAAAAAAGAAAACAATAAAATATCATCCTGCAGACTAGGTAGTTTTTAGGATGCAAATAGTTCATTCCAGGTTTGCTCGCTATGACCGACATAATGTCACTTTTCAAGATACGTAATACCCGTGCCTGTGTCAAACAGTGCTGGATTGCGACGTTGCTGATAATAGCTTAAATCGCGGTACAAATACAGTACCAGTTCCGAACAGTTCAGAACTAGTAAAGTTCAATGTTTTGCGCATGCGCGGTTCAGTGTTGGTTTAGGATTTTGTGGGTACCGCGATCTCATGAAAACTGGCGATGACAGCTCTATGCCTATGACAGTTGACATTAACACTTTGCGCTTTGCGCTTGACGTTGACACAGTATTGACACATGAAAAGTCTTTGACTGACGTTTCGTCGTTTATTCCTCAATCTCAACTGTTTTTATGTGGTTTTTAGTGTATGTTTTATGGTTTTAAATTGGAAACTGGCAAATCGGGAAAAGAAAGAAAATTATGTCACTCCAGGGTGATGAAAATACTCACAGTGTTGGTAAGAATTATAGTTGAACAAAAATCATACAAACAAACTAAATCTGGATTATTTTAGGATGCAGTGAATACATACTAATCAGTACAGAAGGTAATTCTGCAATTCAATCACAGTGGCAATCCCAAAATGCAGAGGTTTCATATAAATGGACACGACAAAATACGTTACTGTTTTTGGATTTATATAAGAAATATAAGCAATTGCTGATGGCTGGGAAAATAAAACTAAAAAAGTTGTACGAATCCATTGCCAATGAGATCAACCAGAGAACCAATGAGAACGTGGCTCCATCAAACTGTGAAAATCGATGGAAGGTATTGGAAAGAAATTACAAAAAATTTTGTGACAATAATAAAAAACAGGCAGGGGTAGAGGCTTTTTTGAGTATGCGGACATAATGGCCGACATATTAGTGGACAAAAAGAATATCAATCCAGTGCTGCTGTTATCAAGTAACACGGTAGAACACTTAAAGGAACCCGAGATATCTGATACAAGCAGGGTTGATATGCTGAACACTCCTGCATTGGAATCACCAGAGGAGCAATTATTAACCCCACACTCATCCAAAGAAACACCACGACGCCAACATCACAAAACTAAAACGTATCCTAATAAACGTCTGAAGTATAACATTTTACAAGAAATCAGAGACGATAGGAGAGAGTTCTACAAGCAGCGATTAGATGTTGAAAAACAAAAGATAAATATGGCAAAAGAGAGGAACATACTCTTAAGAAGGCAGATTGGAAAGAGAAAAATAGATTCCTCAGTACTAAAGTTGAAAAATTAGTTATTGTTATTTATATACTGGAGCCACTAAATGGGCAATATAATCATAGAAATTTTGCTGTAGTAACAATAGCAACCGTATATTATAATGTTGCAGCATATGGTGCAGTTATAGCAATGTATTTTGACGAAAAGATTGCCCGTTTACAGGCTCCATAAGAATTTAAAATAAAGTTTGTATGAAAAACATTAATTTATTTCCAAAATCATTTAAACAGATTTATATTAAATAAGGCCTAGACTGATACAGATAAAAAATATTGCTCCGCTTATGCACCTTTCAGGTACTGATCTGTGGGCTATCCAATATGAATAAACCAAAAATAAATGCATACATGTAAAATAATACACTAATGGGAACAATCAAGGGATCAAATAGCAATTTCAAATTTTAGTGAAGTGCTGTATCTATGAAAAATGATCATATTAAGGTTTTACAAGTTATCTAAAGCCTTGAATGTCCAGTTTTTAGATGTTTAGTCAAAAACTTTAATTTTGAGGTTTCATGTAATCCAAGTGAATAGTGCGAGGGCAACAACCGTTCCACAGACTGAAATTTTTTTTCACTGAACCATTTTATTAGATCAATAGCCTGTAAATCAATTATGTAAAAACATTTTTCATCCTCCTATATAGGCTGAGAATAACAGTAAAAAATGGGGTAATTTTATGTTTTTTTCCAGTCCACATATGAAGGAAGATAAATGTTTTTGAAATGAGTGATCTCTGATCCTTTTAGAGGAATTGACTCCAATTTTTTAAACAACCCTTAGGTCTTCTGTAAGACGTTTACAATATTATAGGAAGACGATTCATGATGTCATATCGCCTCTCATTCCCATTTCTGTTGTTATCATCTACAGTATTATCAAGGACCTGGTTTATTGGCAATTCTGTATTTTCAGGGACTATAACAATTGTCTCTTCCAAACATATATTATGAAGGACTGCACAAGCTCGAATAAAATGAACTATATCTGCAATTTTGTGCATTTTTATGTGATACAATTTTCTCCATTTTTGTTTAAGAATTCCAAAGCAATGTTCAATAATATACCTATTTGTTGCAAGCAAATAGTTATAATTTTTTTGCCGCCTAGTGAGGTGACCGTTATCCCTGAAAGGTGTTAATAAATTAACCAGACATGGATAAGCACTGTCTCCAAGTAGATGATACTGTCCACACATCTCTGCCAAATGATCACCAAGAGGTGATGCTGAAAAAACTCTGCTATCATGAACAGAGCCAGGAAATCCCAGAAATATATCCCGAATTCTTCGTTTGTGGTCGCACACAATTTGGGCCTGGAAAAAAAATAAACAATAAGAATTAATATTTCAAATCCCTGAACATGCATGCTTAAAAAAATATTGTAAAATAGTTCTGTGCGTGCATGCGTCATGATAAAATAAAGCCTACAATTAATTCTATATCAAAATCTAATTGCAACTGGATATTTTATAGATACTGTAGGGTAGTCTTGCAATATTTATTACTTGGATGGAGTAGAAACTTTTTCTAATGAAGTACGATTCTGGATCTTGTGATGGTTTATCAATTCTAATGTGTGTACCATCTAGAGCACCTATCACACCTGGGAAGTTATTTTCTGTAAAATGTTGGCTTATAATGACTTTTTCCTCTCCATCTGGCCATCTTATTACTTCTGTGGCAAGGTTACTCAAAAAATACGTAAGCCGTTTTATAATCTTGTGCAAGCTGCTTACTGATATGTTGAATCTGTCGGCTACATCTCTGTTTGAATAAGCCTCATTTCCAGCATACCATAAGAAAACAGTTATAAACTTCAGTGCGCTAATTTTCTCTGAATCACCTTCTCTGCCGACTGAAAAGTATTGTGATACAGCAAATTTTTCAGCAAGATACTCTGTTTTTTGCCGGCTCATACGGAAGTGGTCAAAATATACGTTGTCTGGCATTTGCCGAACAACGTCTTCAAAATATCCTTCACACTTTGGTATTTGAATGAGGTCCAATGTCTCTTCTAAATCATCATCGCTGGAGCTGAAGTGCTCATATGCATCACTGATATCTGTAAAATTAGTCTATACATTCGCTTATTTACAACAGCAGTAAAAAACTTACCAGACATTGCTACGTGTGTCCTATCAAATAAGTTGTTTAAAAATTTTTACTCACAACTAAACAAGTAGATCACGTTTAAATTGCCCATAATCGATAACTGCGCATGTGCGAACTCTGCGTCCTTCGACCGATTCAGGAACTGTTAGAACCAGTTCAGGACTAATTCAGAACCGGTCAAATCGGTGCCGCGATGGCTGAACTAACTGTTCACTGATGGTTCTCTCTGTACCGCGAACGCTGTTTATGACACTGCGCAGGCGCGAACGGTTCATAGCCATTCAAAACTGATACCGCGATTTAAGCTAATAACCTTTTCACTTTCATAAATATTCCTGTCGGTAGAATATTTTCTCACCTGTTGCTTCACTAATCGGGGATTTTCTTTTCTTACCTCTCTCATTTTTGAAATTCAGCAAATTTGCATGTAATTTCTAGACTGAATAAGAAAAATTGGATGGGCAAATAATTTCTAGCTTTGAATCTGAAGTAGGTGTATTTGAGATAAGAATCCAATGGAATTATTATCAACACATATTATTAGCACACAAATCCTCCTCTAGATATAGTATAGAACTTACATATTCCTCCAGTAATGCGATCTCTGAAGCAGATTCTACATCACATCAGATCCACACATCGTTAACTAAATCATCATGACGTTTAGGCAACACGTACAACAAACGAGTTCGCAACAAGTGTCCATCAGCTAGTATTAAGTTACGTAATACCGGTGTCAAAAAGTACTGGATTGCGACGTTGCTGGATGGTCGGTACTATTGGTTGAGCGATAGAATTGATCGCATTGTTGGACTCCTTTGTTACAACGTACATGTTCGTAGCCAATCCCCGCGGCCTAGGAACGGCAGAGTCAACGTACTTGACACCATTTTATCTACATGATTGTATCAAAGGCTGAAGCCAACAAGAAAAAATAATCTGTAAAGTCGGACAGTCCTATCATAAACTCCCTATTCCTCGTACCAGTAACTAACTATACAGGGTGACTTCGAAGTTGAGTCATTTATTTTAACAGTGAGTAGATCTGATCAAAAGAAATGTTTTTTCCTTTACCATTTTTCTGGTAAAATTAAAGTAACAAAGTTATAGCCCTTTGGAAGTTTGAGTACCGCCCTGTCTCAATAATGATATTATGTTCTCGTGTTTGGCAACAAGAGATATAATCCGCCTTATCCGTTCATCGCATCGGAAACAAAAAAGCGAAAGAATTTGGAACGATCTTTTTACAATTATTTTCTTCAGTTGTATACAGTCAGTATCAGTCGGTAGTCGGTAACGCGTAAGTGAATAATCGTGTCTGTTGCGAGGCTCAAATCAAAAATGGCACATGTTTACGAAAATGCTGAACTTGTGGACATGGTTCTTATTTACGGGGAGTCTTTACAAAATGCTGCCGCGGCATCACGGATCTATGCGGATCGGTTTCCCAATCGAGTGCAACCAACCCCTCGTGCCTTTGTTAATGTAGTGCAAAGAGCTCGTGAATCAGGTGACTTAAGACCTCACAGAGGAGATCATGCCGGTGCTCCAAGACCACACGATCAAATAGAACTAGATGAACAAATTTTAGAATTAGTAAGTGATGATCCAACAGTAAGCACCCGACAAATTTCAACTCAATTGGCGATTAGTCAGTATAAAACTTGGAAAACTCTACGTGAAAATCAGTTCTATCCGTTTCACATACAAAAAGTGCAGGCCTTACAACCGGAAGATCAGGAACAAAGGGTTGACTTTTGCAATTGGCTTTTAAATAAACATCAAAATGATGACAATTTTTTAAATCAAATTTTAGTGAGTGATGAAGCCCTCTTTACTAGAAACGGAATTATTAATTCACGTAATTCTCACGTTTGGGCTATTGAAAATCCCCATGAAATAAGGGAAACCAATTTTCAACAGCGATTTGAACCAATCAACCTGTGGGCGGGAATTGTTAATGGAATTTTAGTGGGGCCTTTTGAATTACCAAATCGCTTAACTGGTGAAAATTATTTTGATTTCTTGCAACACAATTTGCCTGGTTTACTGGAAGATGTGCCTTTAAATATTAGACAAAACATGTGGTTTTTACAAGATGGGGCACCACCCCATTATGCAAGAAATGTGCGTGAATTTTTAAATAGACAATTTAATAATCGTTGGATCGGCCGTGGCGGTTTTGTACCTTGGCCGCCAAGGTCTCCGGACTTAAATCCTTTAGACTTTTGTTTGTGGGGTTGGCTAAAAACTCTAGTGTATAAAACACCGGTTAATACACGCGAAGAATTACGTGCTCGGGTCCGCACTGAAATACTTGTCGGGAGGATACTTTATAAAACAAGGTAACATTTTTTTTTTAATTTTTTTTTATTTTTACACACATATTTTGGTTTATCTTTCTTCTACAATCATTATCTGAAAATTAATGACTCAACTTCAAAGTCACCCTGTATATCTAGAATACGAATTCAAAGATAAAGCTTTATTTCTCATGGGAAGCAAGTAACAGAGTTGAAGTCCGAGAACCAATTTGATTGAGTAGACGCCCAGGCTCTTAGGAAAGCTTTCAACCAATAAAAGCTCTTTTGCTGTGTTGTCGTTCTCGGAAATTTTCTCACCTAAAGGAATCAAGTTAGTTAGAAATTTACACAGTGGCACTGATTCGAGCAGAATAAGGGACCTAAACTAGGATTATGTTCCATATCTAGAAGAGGCAATATCAAGATAGGTCCAGCGACCATATTTATAATAAATAGATAGGCTCAATTCTTCTTAGGCGTCTCGACACTCGCTTATTGCTCCCATAATGATACAGCGCTAAGGTAACATTATACCTGAAATTTTAAAAAGAAATAAAAAAAAGTGTGCATACGATTTTTCGGATAAGCCGATCCGCAACAGCGAGTATGTTTAGTAAGCAACAGCTTGAAGAATAGAAAAAATGGGCGCCGGTGGGATTCGAACTGTTTCCTTCCGGATTTATTATCAGATCAGCTCCATGTTAACCACTAAAATAAGAAAATACGTTTTTAAGAATGAGTTTTAACTGAGTGGATAATAAAGTAAACTAAAAACTTGAAAATATGTTTTCCTGTCGGAAATATTTGAATGATAGTGAAGCTCTTTCATCTCGAGTTTTTAAATAAGGGCGTGTCACATCCTTTTTTCACCCTGCTGTCAAAACGTAACACGACTTTATTTTAAAGTTCATCATCGTTTAAATGATTCCAATCATTCCAATTTATTTTATGAACAGCTAAATAAAAACCTATTTTTTATTTTTCATCCTTTACTTTTTAGTACTTATGATACCGAATAACTAATTTGTTAATTTCTGTATAATTTGCATATATTTTATTAATACAGGACTCCACAAAACTTCTTATTTTCTTTGAATTATAGAATTTTGATAAACATAAATATAAATCATATAATGATAAATTGATATTTTGCGGTGGTCGCCATATGAACCTTAGAATGACGTTATTTGCTTATTGAGTTTCTCTCCAACCCCTTTCATTTGATATCCATATCAGAGCGGTGACTAAGCAAATTATAAATCTTCATTTTGCGATAGTGGAATTAGAATAACGCCACTTTGCCTGCTATGTTTCTCTCATGAATCCCTTTAAATTGGTACCTATATCATTGGGGTGACTATGGTAATCATAACCGCCATCTTGGACAGGTCGCCACATTGGATTTAGCACGACGCCATTTTGGTTATTGTATTTCCTCCATCGAGGCCTTACATTTGATACCCATATGATGGGGGTGACTAACGTATTGCGATCACTGTATTGGATTTAGAATGACGTCACTATGCTTGTAGGTTACTCTCATCAAGCCCTTACATTTGATACCCATATCGTAGGCGTGACTATTAAAAATTTAAAAATGTACATCGCCGGTTTGCCCATTCAGTTGATGCCCAAATCATAGGGGTTACTATGGAAATCATGAATTGCCATTTTGTATCACTTGCTATATTATTTTCAAAATAGCGTTGACTTCTTGTCTGCGGCTGACTCTTCCGCCGTCTGGTCGGGTATTTATTCACTTATCGACGAGTAGAGAAGCATTCAAGCGGTTTCCACTGTTTCACTAATTTTCATGAGGGTGATCTACATTGCAGCAGACTGCATCACGAACGGTGGGCGCGTAATTCCGGTTGCGTAAGCGTTAATCCTACAATAGCAGTATGACTACGAGTCTGGATATCGAATGAAACGGGTCCAGTTAGTCGACAATCTAATAATAATACGTTGAGGATAGTCGAATTATCCGAATACAGTTTATCCGCTGTTTGATGGGTTCTGTGTTTATTCTTTTTAAATGAGTTGTTTATTTGGAAGGACCATGCTTGTTCAGGAAATACTATTAAATATGTTAAACATCACGTTCTTCGAAAACGACAATATCTTCGAGTTGCCTGAGAGGGGAGTTTAAAAACTATTTCGTCTTGGTAAAAGTATGACCGAGGAACTGATTACTTTGGTAAAGCCACATATCCCAGAAAAAAAATGGGAGTGAAATAAAGATAGAAAAATGGTGTTATTTGCTCTCCAATTCTATGCAAAGGCAAAGGCGTGTTAAGACATAGAAGATGCCCATGTCCTTGAAAAAATATTGTTCGCACAAGCTGCTATATGCCATATCTGGATTTTTCTCAGTGTACGTAGTCTATCAATATTTTCCATTTCTTGGGTGTTGGTCAAGACATTTTTTGCCCGTACTTTTTTTTTGCTGAAAAAATGTCAGTTTCAGGCAACTTGCCCATCAAAAAACTGTCAAAACCTAGTCGAATTTTTCGATTCTTTATTCGATCGATTACTGTGAATAAATCAACCGACTCTATTGTCGATTCTCCGATTTAGCCCTGTCCCTGTCGGATAATCTAGTTGATGTACGAGACTGTCTCTCGCTGATACCCAGAGTTCCAGTTACACTAGAGCATTACAATACTAACAGGTTAAAGATAAAAGCTTTTAATAACCGTACAGGATCTTTTGACTTTCAAATATATGCGAATATCTAATAATCCACCCCTCTGTTGTTTATTCTTCCGCCGTCACTGCCTACGTTTCTCCATGCCACCGAGCGAAGCATTCTGGAAGTGCCATCGTTACAACATAACTCCGAATTACCCAAAGAGTTCCTTAATAGCCCACCCTGAAACTCCTCAGCGCTCCAGAGAAAAGATGTCGGTGGCAGGTAGAAACACAGTCGGGATGGAATTGCATTTGGGAGAGCTTTTAACGCTCCATCGCGCCAGTTAACAAGTTCATAAAACTAGAGGGTTCGCTGATGGTGGATGTGAACGTTGCTACTGCGCTACCGTGCTTTGTTTTCCTCTACTACAAGGTGGACGTTTTATATATAAATGTGAGACGTAATTTGAGGTCTCCAGTGGAGGTTATGGACATTT